TATATTATTTTTTTAACCGACTTTTCAAAAAGGAGGAGGTTATCATTCGGCCGGTGTCTTTTTGTTAGATTCAAATTGATCCAAATAGACATCGAGACAATTCATTTGGACCAAATATTTGTACATATTCAAAAAAGTATTATACTGATATATTAAACTGTCAAACACCAAGCGGTCACCGGTGACCGCGACCTATTGTTCTTTAATTGTGTCTATAAAACCGGTACTCGACGAGTTAATTTGATTATTAAAATGCCTAACATGTTTCCTAAAATATAAACTAAGACTGAAAAGTGGTTGCTTTTAAGTTTCACTCTCTGTCTAAATGTATACTTAACTATAAGTTTTATTTAAGTATAAGTAGGTTTTTATAGTTAAGTAAACTTATACTTTAGTATTTACTTTAATACCATGAGTGTTAATTGTACTCGACGGTAATACTCTATATGAAACTACTATAATTATATTGCGATGCAGGTTTATCATTGTGTAATATATTACTGTTTTAGGTGACCATTGATGTTGAGTTTGCAATAAGTAAAATTTTATTAGTTAAAGTCTAAATATTGAGGTGAATTGTAAACTTGTTTATGCTTCCAATGAAAAAAAGTATTACTATTCTAATATTTATGGCCAGTACACCCATCTCTTGTCCCGTTTAATTATAAAGCGTTCCACAACCTTGTATAATAAATGTTTAATTGAATGAGATTACATCAGGCAATCACTTGGTTTCAGGAAAAAACATTAATATTATTTCCTGTTCATTAAGACCATGAACGTTGCCCCTGATTAGCTAATTTAACATGTAAATGAAAAATCATTTTTCGTTTTAATTTAATCTCTAATTTTTTGGTAATTTTCGTTACCCGAGAAAGCTAAATGAAATTAATCTCTTGAACTTATTTATAGCAAAGTCGGTTTTCTTATAAAATTAACTCGAATCAATGTCAAAACCTGCATCAAAAAAGTACTCCAAATAAAGGCGCATACTCGGAGGTTTCTCGGCAACACCTCTAACGAAGCAATCAATTACGCATTGAAATGTTGGCTTCAAGGCGAGCAGGCCAGCAGCACCGAAATCGAATAATGACAGACAAATGTCTTAAACCTACTAGGAAGTATCGTGCCCGATTCGTCCTAGCAAGCCCTTGTTAACGAGACGCACACCACCGCGCAACCGTACCGATACGCCTGCACACACGCGCACGCCACGCACACGTTCACGAAAATGGCCATGAGATAACTGACATCACAGCAAGGTCCCGCCGGTCGGTACGGTCAACAGAAAAAAACATTTTTCGTTCAATTAAAATGTTAAAGATGGAGGTTCCAATGCAAAGTTCCGCAGCATGACGTCAGCGTCGTCGTCCAAACTAATCAACCCTGAACTTTACATGAAAACACGAAAATTATGCATCTTACAACCGCAAGATAAGGCAAAATATACGTTTTACGATCATATTAACATTTTATGATGTTCGTTATTGAAATAATAAGTGTACGGTCCACGATTTATAGACGCAGAACTGCGTCGGGTCTAGATTGTATCTGCATAAATGCTTAGAAAAATAACCTAAAACATTTTAATTTAAACAAATTGCGGTAACTAAATAAACGAGATGGAAACGTTATTTTCGCAGTTCCAACTTCAATGTCAGTTTCTTGTATTAAAACATTTTTATTCCTCAATTTGAATCTAGGAAATGAATTCAGAAGATAGTCAATAAAGTTTAATTTTGTAAACAGTTGCTTGTTATGGTGTCGGTACAGCCACGTGCATCACGCATGCTGCGTAACATATAGTAATGACAGTGTTTGTGTCGGCGACTGCCGGCCTTCGGACCCCGAGCTGCGATGAATATTTTTAACATAGGGCCCACGCAACCATACGAATGTACTTCTTAATTCCTGCATACACTTGAACCAAATATACATCTCGTTGACACTGAACAACTAGCTCCATTTGAGGTGACCGAAAAACATTTAACAATTACGAACTCAAATGCATTCGATACCTTCGACCTTTCTATTATGGCATTTGATTTGTTAGTCACGTTTAATCTAAGAAGGAAAATTAAACAGATGTGTATTTTTTCAGTTAAAATGGAATTACAACAAAGAGAATATTTAAAATAATCGTGTAATTAGTATTCAAGGTGACAAGGGCTCCCAGCGATGATTACGATTTGTTCGTATGTATTTTGTATAAGGAAACGGAGTACGCTACTACCAGTATATTGTATATGTTTACTGAAGGCCTTCAAGGGCTACGGGCTATGTAATCGCTATAATTAACTTGCTTACACGAAAATAGTTCGGTTTAAAATCAAAATATAACAAACCCAAACAAAGTGAATGGAGCATATTTATTTAAATCTCGTTTTAGTGCGCTCTAAGTTTCATTTCAATTTATACGAATTAAAATATAAAAAAGTAATAAATTCATTTGAAATAATACGAATGAGGATCTACATTATTCATAAAACAAACCTCTAAAAACAAATCATAATACATTTAAAACGGATTCATAAAATCCAATTGAATTAAAATCAAATTGCAAATAAAATTAACAAGGCACGAGCTCCCGATTTATTTGCACTCGGTACACCAGACGCCACACATTGCACCGCACGGCGCGGGCGCACCAATAATAGAAACTTGCAAATCGCGCTGCGCAGACGCCGGCCGGACGGACGGCCTGCAAGGCTCTTCCTAGACGATTATGACTCAGCTACTACACTTCTAGAACTGACTGCTTGCCCTACTGATACCATATTCGTTACTACTATTATTATTATCAATTTCACTGAGATTCATCATAGCTTCTTATCCGGGAGACATCCGGACTCCGGACTCCTTTAGGTATAATGAGATATCAGTACCAACCATTGTAGTCGAGCATCTCCTTGGCTATACTTTTAAAGAGTCCAAGACTCATTAGTTGCCTTATTTCAGAAGTTAGGTGCAATAAAGTAGTGCTCAAGGCATAGCTTACTAGTAACTCCAATAATGGGGGACCCCGTAATGGGATTTCATTGAAATTGCGATTATTGGTTATTGCCTTCATTAGTTACATTAACATGACTTCAAAGCTGTATTGTTCTAATTAAATCGAATGCAAATTAATTACGAAGGTAACGATGTAACATGCGAGGAACGTAGCGCTCTGTGTTGTGCCCTTGCAGTGTTGAAATTACGTACAACTTACACGTGGCTCAAACTGTTGCAAACGAAATGATTATTTTACTAAATTACTAGTAAGTTGTAGTTAGTAATTACTAGATTATCCATTATTATTTTCATCATGGTAGGATATTGGAGTTCGGCATGTACAGCGAAAGTACTAGTTGTAGGTTTAGTTTTCATTTAGGAAATAAGTACGTAACTTTCACAGGTTTGGGTTGCATCTAGTGTGAGATCTCTGGTCTTAAGACCGAGCATAATGTAGCGAAATGCTATGATATAACTTTAAATCCGTGAAGAAGGCACCAGAGGTGTCTAGTCTATACCAAAAACACTCACTGTTCATGTTCATGAGTTATGAAAGCCAAAAGTCTGCAAATATTGAGAAAATTCTAGAAAAGTTGTGTGATCTGTTTTGAAAATTAAAGCAATTGAAGGTTACATCAGAGTTAACTTGGAGGTCAGTCGCCCAAATATTGGCGGCCAATCAATTCCGTATCATATGTCAATTGCTTGCATCGACAGAATATAATGAAGACAAAATGTTTCAATCACATATAATAACTCCATTGAATCGAATGAACAATCCGCAGCCAGGATCGAATCCTGCACATACATAATGCTGAAAAGTTTTATGGCAGTAGATAATGTCCACTGTCTCTGGGAGGAGCAGTCCGATTTGAATTTTTGTTTCATCTAATTTCTTTTGTTAATGGAGTTTTTTCTCGTTCATTTTAAAACTTTACTGACAGACAAAAATGCTTAATTATCACCAATTCATAAAACGCAGTGTATTCAACTTCTTTCCAAACACGTTGATAACGAATATCTAGCGCATATAATTTTGCACGACTCTAGTATTGACATAGCTTGCAGCTTCGCTTTGTTTACTTGAAAAACTGGAGCAGACATTTTAAAATAATGTTTACAGTGCGCAATAATACGCAAATATGGCATCCTTGTTTAGGTATTGTTTAGTCAGGAAAAACGTTGAAGAAGAGTAAACTTGTTATTCTTAAACAATATCAACTTCATCATTTTGCGATAGACACATCCCCAATCATATGCAACAGAGAACAGCGAAATGCTCCCATTCACTTTTCAAATAATTCCAGAGACATCTTAAAAAAAATTCTGCAAGCTTTTATCTACAACATTATGCCTAAAAATAGCTCATTTCACTTCTAACGTCCTCACACCAGTATCCAAGGTACCTCGGCTATTAAACCTGAAAGAGCTCCATCACTGTCCGTTACGTGCTTTACAATTTCCACTGCTACTCGTAGAAAGGGCTTTGTACTATTTTAGTTTTGGGCAAGCCATCAGTCATCAAAGCGCACACAGCTTCCGCGTTGGAAACTAGCCAGTTATGTACAAAGGATGCATTAAGGACCTAGAATTATGACACACGATCTAAACACACATTGGCTGTAAAGTATTACGGTTTTAGAGTAATGTGTTCTAGTTCAGAATTGCCATTTTATATGCAGATTCGATGTGGGGGGAAATAGAAACGATTTCCTACCATTTTATTGTTATCGGCTACTCTAACACCCTTCTGCGTCTCTAGTTTCGTGAAGACATGTGATCGATCGTGTGGTGACGCAAATATCTCAAAACAACATCAAAACCTGATGATTGATAGAATATTACTTTTGAAACACATTATAGTAAACATTCCGTATTTGTCACTCCATGAGTTCCAGGAACAATGCTGTCACAATCTGGACACGATTCCATGGAACCCTACGCAAATATCACAATGAATTAAACCATCTACTAACTTTTTAGTATCAAAGTCTACAAAACCTTACCTTAACTCTAAGCCTCTTGTCGACGCATTCCTTTAAAACCCCAAGGGGTCCTTCCATAACCTCTATGCGAGTGAGGAGGTTCTTCGCTCTATACTCTTTTGGTGGCACCATGACTGAAATCACAAGTAATCGGTTAATGATTAACATTTTAAACATAATACAGTTCGCGACATAACTTATTCCTTTTGGCCAGATGAACAATACTCATAGCTTGATCTGCGAAAAGATATGACGAAAGTTAAAGAAGTATGCAAGGGTCGTAGAAGATGTGACGCTCTGTAGTGTCTGCCTACCTCTATATGACAAAGGTATGAGCTCATTTACGTATGTTGAAGACTTAAAATAGTTTTGACACGAGTTATTCTAATGGACCTTTTGTTTGTATTTTTGTACCTAACGCTACGTTATGTATGAGTCATGACGCAACTCGAGGAAGATATCAAATAATGTCCCGTGAAGGTAAACTTGTGTCATCTGCGTACCTACTTACCTACTGCTACCTAAGAAATAATACTTAGCAACTCGGGTTTCTCTACTCGTAAAAAAGGCAATAAAATACTAAAAATGGTTTATGTTTAATCTCCAAGTTACATTGTAACATTATTATTTCTTCCAAAACAGTTACAAAAAGGCAGAGAACATAATAATTATCGTAAGTATGTAAGACAGCTGAACCTCAGCTATAAATAATTTGACACAAGCGCGTATTAGTGTATTACGATAACAATGACGAAAAGAAGTCAACGCACCCGCTTTATCAGCGACACGAATATGACACCTGTAAAAATATCGCAAGTTTACGTCACCTCCCGGCCCAGTGCACGGGGTATGCGCGGGCGCACTGGCGCACACGCGTGCACTCGTGCGCCGGACCACTCACCCATCAGTTTGGTCAATGCCTGCTTGCTCCAGTGTCATTGTTGAGTTCATCAAGACGTAACAAGCGAAAAAACGTAAATAACTCATACCGCATGGCCACAACTCGTCAGATTTATTAAAACATTACAATAAAATCTTCAATAGCTATATGCAGTAAGGTAGAGATTATCAGACAAATTTGCCCATTTGAAACCTTATCTCAGAGCAGTTACCGTTATTTTTCGCAAGTATTTATACAACTTAATAAAACTATAAAGATATATTGATAAACGCTTCTAAATATAAACGTATCTAAATGAAATCAAGAGCGGCTGCGAAACGGGTTTCTCATTAGAACTTAGAACCACGTTAGAACGAGACGATGACTATCGACATGTTGAAACTAGACGAATTGCAAGTTTACAAACGATTATAGAACATACGAGGATATTACAAAAATACAAGTAATTAATTTTAATTAGTACATTACATAAAACAACAAAAAAAATCTAAGATGGAACTCCGGTGAATTTTAAAGAAATAGCGTAGTTATTACAAAGAATCTCGCACATTTGACCCACTAGAAGTATGCGAACTATTTCCATTACACCCTCGGCAATTTACTCAAAATTAGATTCACAAGTTCGAGATGTTCATTAGACGTGGCTTAAAAGCTTATTCCAATTAGAAGATTGAGCACAATAATCCGCAATATTATTATCTTTTCTAGGAATCGCTAACTTTATTCCTTTAAGGATCAACCCTCGACTTTGATCCGTACCTCGTAATATTATTTTGTGATAAAAGACGTAATTAAGATTTTACGTATTTTCTTATAAATGAGTAGTTTTTACAAGAATCATTCAGATCCCGGTATTCAGGGAGGAAGCTATTATTTTAGCTTTAATGTTAAATTGTCTTGACCAGCTGGTCTATTTAGTTTGTAGTCTATTTTAATTCAAAGGAGCAGATGCGCATAAACGATGTACCTAATGGAATTTTTAATCACGTTATGTTTTTTCCAAGCTATACTTAATTTTGCAAACTTAAATAGGTGGTTTAGATTATCACTGATGCTTACTTTAGTGACGTGAGTACTTCAGAAGTCATGTAATCCAAGTTGTAGGCAGATGAACCGAGACGGCTACAGATTGTGTTACAAAGGAATGACTTGATGTCCGAATCATACAAATGAAAATGGTAATTATTCCTTAAAATAACAAACAAAATCTGCGAATGTGTAAGGCCTATCAACAAAAGTCATAACAATTGATCAAAAACCGATTAAAAAACCGTAAAGTATCAACAAATCTATGCGGTGGCGGCGCTGGAGGTACCAGGACGGCATGGCTCGCGAGCGGTCGCCGATCGCGAATTACTTTCACTCCACTATCCCCGGGCGCTGACCGCGCGGCCGGGGTCGTCGGCCGCGAGCCGAGCGCGGGAAACGCCACCCGCCATCGCGCCATTCAGAAAAGCGCGCCATGTTTACACAGATGCGCGCCGAAACGCGTGCCGTTGCATCACTTCCGTTTACGTTCCGTTCCGCCGATTATTGGCGACGTACCGATTTACTTTTATGCGTTTAACACCATTATTTGTTACCATAATCGACCCATATGGTGCTATGTCTTTTCTTTTTGTCTACAGAATTATGAAAGCCCTACCTGTTGTACCTTCCTACATTCAATAAAAACCTACTGGTTCTTAAACGTTACGCCTAAATATTTGAAGAATAGGGCAGTTAGGTATTGCAATGTTGGTGACGATAATAGTGAGAACGCCAGCACCGAGTGAAGAGCGCACACGCACGCGTGATAGATAACAGAGCACGCAACTATTTGTTATCTCCTCTATAATTCGTAAACACTAATTCTTGTAATTACTTTCTTTGGATGAGATAAGTAACAACTACCTACACTAAGTTATAAAAAAAAATTGCAAGCTTTAAAATGGAAACCAGAATTTGATGAATTTATAGATTTAATTTATTTAGAATTTTTCGGTAATTCATTTAAAGATTATCATTTTAAATGTAAGGATACATAAACATTAATAAAAAAACTTTTTTATACTAGTTAAGACACAAATCTCACAAGCAGCGACTTTGTAGTCATAACATTAAAATTATACTTAGTTTTTGTTGTCTTATCTTGGATGACACAATTATTAATCGGTATTTCTTAGCACGCATCATAAAATTAACAATAATTTCGGTTGGCAACACAACTTTTTTGGTTGAGGCATTTCATCAGCCGTATAGGGTTGTCCTAAATATAATTTAACGACTGCGTCTTCTTCACATACTCAAGCAATTGTTATTGAATTAACTGCAAAGGTTCATTCTTATGAGACCTCAAATGGTATGCATAAAAAACCAACGTTTTAAATTTTCAAGTAACTATTCCATTGATAAAATATCTGAGATTTTTTAAAGGTTTTATACAGACTTCTATTACAGGAAGCATGGAGAGCAGCTAAATCCATATTTTATGTACATTTTAGCAACTGCTTTAGACATACGCAATCTAGGACGCTCCGGATTTCAATAATCATATAAGACAGAGAGACTAAAACAAATCATTCAAAAAACATAGCTAAAGTTTTTGCTCCATAAACCGAAGAACCATTAAGATTGTATAAAGTCCATTTCATCTGCGGTTTCTTGATTTCGTTCCAATACATGTGGTCCTCAATTTTCGTGCAGAGTCCAGTGCCAACAGCCCTAGGCGCAAAATCTCTGGATGGCATGTCAACGACCGAGACTCCAGGCCGAGTGAGACGGCGAATGCCACTCATGTGGAAAGCGGTTATGCAACAATCGCACACGCGAAAGTCTAGCGAACGATGTTACATTCGCAACGATGCATCTAGATGAACGCATTACGATTTATTCAGATATTCACGACAATCGTAACGATCTGTCGGGCTAGTGATGAAGCGATTGCCCGCCAATGTGTTTCCCTTTTTTGCTGGAAACCTATTACTTTACAGCAGCCATATTGATATCTCTCTACAGATCTAAGAACTTTAATCAAGACATCAAAATCATCAGGATCAGTTCTTGTAGGCCCCGTTACGCTTGATTCTACCAAAACTTTTAAAGACGAAATGTGCTCTGTTATGCTGAAAAAATGTCAATAAGTTTTTTTTAATTGAATATTGTATTGCATAAACATAGGTTATGATACGAGTACATATCAAATCAAAAATAATTATTAAGGGTACATAAGTCCCTGTTAGTCTGCTTTCGAACAAGCACTTTCTTAGATAGACTCAATAGATGTAAATGCGCACGATTGTTCAGACCGTGTTTCAGTATTGCAAAACAATATGGCGACCGCAATAATTATACTCTAGAATCTACCATTACGCTTATATTAGGTTTAGTGATTGCACAAAAGTAGCCGATAATAGAAGCGAACAAGGAGTTTACAAGCCAGCTGTGTTTAATCTATGGTGCGTTGTACCTGTCACTTTCCACCTCCATTTTTGTCGATTTGGCGGGAAAATAATTGGTCATTATATCACGCGATCGCATGTTTAGGCCATATAAACGGGCAGTTCATTAAAAAATTAAGAGTTCCTAATTAACACATAAGGGTCCTTATATCGCCTATTTTACATAAAAGTTAACACAGTTTATCTTTATTGTTTCGTTAAAAGTAATAAACGTATTTTATTTATCACGATTTAAGCTGAAAATGGGACAAGAGTGATAGACAGCTGTGAACCTCATTCGTTTAAGAAGAAGAGATGATAAGTCGAAGACTGAATTAATTTGGTGATGAATAAATATTTCGTGACCTTTTAATAATTCTCTCATCCTAAATTATTCTGTTTATATTGTCGACCTAAATAATGTATCATCTTTGTACAATCAAAATGAAGCCATTCGATCGAAGGGACTCGCAGTAGGTACAATAGTTGCGGCAGAAAAGCGAGTGACGTAATCCAAACCACTCGTTCCTAGCCAAAACCAATTGTGGATAAAAAAAGGTTTATGTAAGCAAGGCCGCCGGGGCAGCGGGTCATGGGCGCTATGCAAATGAGCTGATGCCATTGTTGATAGCAAGTCATTGACTATGCGGACCTGGATACGTTACGTCCATTCACGGTAATAAAAGGATTTTTATGATGGATTTTTATAGTTAGAAGCACTAGTTCAAGTTAAGTCAAGATATTGTGAATAACCGAAAACCTGTTTTGTAACACCTATTTTAATTATAATCTCCTTTTAGGATAGGATATGCAAACATAAATATTAGTTGGACAGGTATTGTAGGTTTCAAATCGGTTTGATTTGTAACCATCATAGGCTTACAGGTTGTAATGTAAGACGTGGACCGACATTACGGATTAGCAGTGATGCGGAGTTATGCAGGGGTCATTTGTTATTTACGGCCGCAGTAAGGATGCGTGAGATGTCAAAGTTATACGCAGATTAAAATAACGACTTGTAACTTGAAATATGTATACCACTTAATAGTTAAGTAGACTCTAGACCTTAGGGCCATTGGTAACAACACAGCTCAATCCACGTCTAAATATTTTTCAAGGAAAATGATTGGCCTTAAAGCGTCCTCATCTAGATTAATCCCGATCGAACCTTGATCCTCGAATGGGCGAAGTCCCACAACTGCCTGGGTGGGCTGCGTAGCTTATCCAGGGGGTAAGCCTGAGATGTGAGGTGAGGGGGGCTGGGTTCGACGTCCGCAGTTGACATAGAGCCGCGTGCAATGAACGCGCGGCCTAGACTGACCTCCCGCCCGACCTGACGCTCCATGTGACAAGATGCGAACTCAAACTACTCATAGAGATGAGAAGTGCAAGTTGATAATTTATTAGTCGAAGTTTTGAGATGATCAAATTTTAATTGTTTTTTTTTGGAAGGTGTCAAAGAATTATTAGGTTCATCTATTTAGTAGGTACCTGTCATATAGAACCTAATTTGCATTTCATCGGAACAATGTTTTGAATAGGTAATTGTAAATTGAACATCCTTTAGTAGGTACTATCACACTTATTTATATTATCTATGTAGATAAATTATGCTTGCAATACTTAAGTTTGACTTAAGCATTTTTACACACACATATTAATTATATGGTAAAAGTGATATATTTTAATTTGTATGATGAATATTTTGACAAATGTCATCATAAATATGTAACTTTTCCGTTACCTAATTAGTTAACCTTTAATTAGATTTGTTTAACTAGAATTGTGGCCGGTATATGACAATGGGCCCATCCTCTATTATATGGGACTCCAAACATAACTAATGAAAGATAGGAAATATATATGCACCTCTACATCCTCCTTTATTCTCAAAATAAATAAAAGATTTGCTGTATATGTTAATTATAATCTCAATATTTTTTAAATATCAAAAATTTACTAAAGACCATGTAGTGTCAGCTATGCAATTTAATCATGTTTAATGATCTCCGAGACTTACAACAAATTTTAAATTTTCCTAGAATGTAGCTTATCTGATATTTGTGACATGGATTATGAAAAATTTGTTTATTACTTAATAATTTTTTTTTTAATACTTTGAATTTGATTGTTAAAGGTGTCTATATTTACAGAATTTTCAATTTCACTTTCAAAACACCCATCATTAAATAAATTTTATGTCCCATTTTAATACAATGACAAGTATGTACTGAATATTTTAGCTTACGAATGTATTTTTGATGTTCAGCACATAAATGCTTTTGATTGTAAACAGAAGATTGTTATAAGCAAACTGTCCGCTGATGTGGCCATTTTTCAACACATTCATAATGTATTTACCTAAAATACTACACTGTTATTCAACATTGGGTTATTAAGAATTAACGTAACACTACAAATACTGATTACATCCTTAAATGAATGTATCAAAACATAACCTTTCCAAACATAACCTCAAAATGTTAGGTACCTGTTTGATACTGAGCGAACCGGCGTTTATTCTTTTCTTCTAACAATCTCTCCTCCTCTATTCTTTTCTTTTCCTTCTCTTCTTCTCTTTTCTGTACCAATTTGGCATGTCCAAGTGGAATTATTTCATTTGATTTGCTCTGTGCGGCTTCAAATTGAGCGATGTTTTCATACAACGGCGCCGATTCAACCGGTATCTTTACTTTGTCCGAGTAAAGAGCCTTCAATGGATTATAACTGGAACTACAGGCACTAACTTCTGACTCTGAAGTCGAAGAATCAGATTTACAATCTTCCGACATCGTATATTTCCTTGCAAAACAAAAACAAAACAATAAACATCTGCTCGATTTTGGAGATTGACGTTTGGCTACGCTCGCAGCACACTGTCGCTGTCAATGTCAAAGTTACGGACAAATGGTCAACGTTTCGTTTCACGTACAAGATTTTCATAATCTTACCATGAAGACTGAAGTTGTTCAAAAAAATCTTCGATCAACAATAACAACTAGATATCGGGTCGGCGCAAGAAAATCGTCTCGACAAATAAGAGCTCACTTGAGAAGTGAGCTCTTATTTTATTTAGTATGCTCCAAACACGGCCAACGTAATCACGTCTCGCAATGCTGCAGTGCGTAATTGCAAGTTGCAAAAATAATAACCGAAAAAGCAGTATAACGGTCGGAGTGTCTTACTTTCGATAAGTACATAAAGTATAAGTTATATTTTAAGCTTTTAAATTAGTAAATAATATCAAATTAGACAAAATTACCAATTATAAACCATCGCCACCAATGTTTGTGCGTGTGTTGGCGATCCCTTGGCCAAGCATCGCCAACACGCGCACAAACATTTGTTTAAACAGAACAGTGGATCCATGGAGTCGATTTGTATTGTAAAACAAATTTGTATTGTAACCTGATTGGAAAAGAGTACCTAACCTTTGGAGTTTCTTGCTCGTTCTTCTCCATAGGATTCTACAGCTTGGAATGAGCAAATAGCTTCACTTTTAAATTTATATTGTTGACGTTCAAAAGTGCCTTCCTGGTCTAACTGAAATAAATGATTTTGACTTAGACTTTTAATGACAAAGTAAACAAACATATGATACACAAAAACGTACCGCTAATAAAAATAAGTGATGTATACTAAGATCCCGAAAATAAAATTATTTTAGTGTTTAACGCGACTCCATACATACCTCCTGTAGCGAAATTCAAAATTCGAAGAAGTAAAACGAAACAAAACAAAACGATATAGATCACAAGGCAATAACGGAAAAATTATCTTTATTTGTTCTAGCTTAAGGTTGAATTCAAACTAGATATTGTATAACTTATGTCTTTTAATTTCTACATGACAGGAGTAAGAAAATGCTTTTCTCGTCTTATGTGACGAATGGTCGTAAGTATTAGATAATACTTTGACGATTTATGACTTTATTATTAGGTGCCATGGTTGTTATTAGGTTGAACTTAAAACCATTTTAAAACATTTTTCTCAGTTTGTTATTTTTTTTACTATTATTATTCACACGGACAGAACTGGAGCTTGATTTTGTACGTAACCCTTTATCTAGTTGCTATTGTTGATCGAAGAAAAAAATACATGTTTTGAAAATAAAACTGTTTTTACTATTATTTCAATGATTAATAATTTGATACAGCTAAGTGAATAATGCTTCTACGACGCGGAAATCGTTTTGGAAAACAATAATTAAATTACCTCGAAGTAAATTATTATAATTGCACATTTTTTATTGACATTACAGTCATATTGATCGCGTGGTAGAATGCTGAAGGTTCTTCCTCAAACTGCAACTATTCAGTTATAATTACTGTAGGAGTATTATTGTAGTACAAAAAGTCTAATTGCAAATAAAGCTTATTGATAATATTTTTGTTCAATTCTAAAATTAGATATAGGCACTATAAGCAAGCAGTATTTTTAGGAAATAAGACGTACCTACGTAGGTATATACCCTACAAAATTATACTTTTCCAATGTACCATTAAAAAAGTTACGTAGTTATGTACCAGTAAGCTATAAATGTGATATTTATCGCACAAGATACTTACTTATTTTACTAAGAATAATAAATATTTATTTCATTAAATGATATTTTACTACATTATAGCAAACAACAAGTTGTGTAAACAAGATAAGTATTAGCAAGATGTTAGCTCGTCGCAATTACGCCAACTCAATGCAAGGTCCTCAGAGCAATATGCAATAGGAAGTAAATCATTCAAGGCTACGTCTCACTGAAGTCTATAAATCTTTCAATAGGCTATTTATACAGGAAAATTTATTGCAAAATGCCATAAAAAGAAATATACTTACCTATATACATATACTTACTAGTACAGAGCCACCATACATTAATCGAGTAAAATTCAATATAAAAAAATGTTGTTTACTTATTTTACTGTTCTAAATTATCTATCTATTCATTACAATTAAATAGTTAACTATTAAACAATTTTATTTTTGGTCTTACCAGAAAGTAGGAAGCTTAATCTATTCGCCGCTAGATGGCAGTTTAATCAGTATTACTATCGCGTTTATTGTAACTATGTTTTATAATATAAATAATGTATTAAAAGACTTATTACTACTCTACGACATTTTGTGCTAGTCATGCATACGTTAGAAAATTTTGTAGCAACCCAATTTGTTTCCATCCTTCGTACTTCGTACCTGAAGGATAAGTAAGATGAGTATGCCTCTAATTTAATCCTATGATTAAATCAAGACATGGCCGCTGTCGCCTATTAATTAGCTACGTATAAATAGACAGGCTATGAATAATGCAACGTTAGGTAAATGACATGAACATTCTCACTATTTCTAATCTCTTTTATTGACATTAATCGACAAGTTGTACTGTCATTACTTTTTACATTGATAAAAGAGATAGGATGTGACTAAAACATTTTTGAACGATTAGAAAAAGTCATTAATTTCTAGATCACAATCTGCAGCTTTTACGAAGATACCATCTACCAAATACTAAAATGTGTTCGCCGTTGAGAAAATAATTATTCTGGAAATAAAATCGACGCACGAAGAAAGCGGTACTAGGAAGCATTTAGAAAAGAAAAGTAATTCTTTTTGCTTCACACACGACAATTATAGTGAAAGACTGAGCTAGCATTGTTCACTTTTTTACAAACGGCGCGCGTTGATTGGCTGCATTTCTTTGTTTCGCGGCGCGCGCGCACTCTTCCGTGCATTGTGAGCTCAGCATAATATGATTACGAGAACGTCTTATGTTTGTTACGTTAATAACTTTTTTCTTTGTTTTTTTAGTAGCTGCAAGCATTTTATGGTCAGTTAATTTTTGAGATAAAATGGTTTACGTAACTCCTAAAGGAGTTAAGTAGCAATGTTATTGTTTCTTGACAATGTCCAGAAAATTTAATAATATTTATTTCATGTAGTGGAATCTTATGACATATATAAAACCCATTAAAATTGTTGACAAAAAGTCATCCATAACTTAATCCGCAGTTAAAGTGCATCTTGAGTATAAACTTTTCCATCTTCTTCAGTCTAATTACCGGCGATTTGTATTCTCAAAAACTATACCTACTTTATTAGAAGTCGCCCAAAATAGGCGAGTAACTAAGTTCGTTGACTTACCCATACGTCACAACTCAAGATTAGATTTATTGTAGTATTCGCGACACGTGATGCGCAAGCGATCCAAGAATGATTTATTAATCTTTAACACCTACATACTTAAATAGGTCAAACTCAGTCTGAAAATATTAATCGAAACATTAATTTGTTTAATTAAACTTTTTGTGTCTTTATTGGGGAAGCAATACAAATTATTAACATGTGTTTTTTTTTCAATTTCAGAGCAGGGTGAGCGTGTGCGCAAGTGGGCGAGCGCCGCGCTGCCTCTATGCTGTATCGACGCAGATTTGACATTCACCGGGACGTCGCCAGGTGATCTCGGTGCATTGTCACCGTCACAATTACAACACATTACACTAAAGCAAGCTGAAAATAAGAAAAATACCGCTTTACCAGTAAACTCAATGTAACCATATTTTTTACTTACACCTGCAGACTAGCGCTATCTTGTGGCGAGTAGCGACACTACTAATTTCATCATTTCAATATTAAATTATATAATTTAATTGTTAGATAAATTTAATTTACATATGGCTACATATTTATTATACACCTTAAATGCAGATATGTCTAGAAGTTAATTTTAAGTTTATAAACTAACCCTAGCACTAACATCTCCATATTTTATTACTCGCTTAACTCCAACAAAAACCACAATAATTTTAATTACGAACAGTGTTAAGACGTGAAAGCCTACGCTCGTAATCTTAACAGGTCGCTGCTGAAGAGAAGTGGATTACGAGGAGTGAGGTAACCTGGCCGGGAGGAGGACAAGCAAGACGAACAAGCAGAACCATCTGTCGTCCAGCGGCAACAAAATCAAACCGAAATGTGTTCCCCCGTAACTAAGTACCTAGAATTCGCGTAATACCTACATCGAATAATGTACGTTCCGTCCAAGAAGCTGCCAAACATTTTGAACGAATTTATTAGTGTAAATACATTTTTGGACTATTTATATTTGTGTATAGTTCGCGAGTGTTCGCGAGTGTAAGAGTGGTGTGAAAGCGCCACCTAGTGTTTAAAAGTGACAAAGGTGGCGGGGACGCATGCGCCATCGGGACAGGCGCTGGCGATGCCATTTATTGAAGACGAATGGTGGTCCGCCGAGAATGAGGGCAGGATGGTCGATCTCTCCAATTGCCTGCAGGTAATACACTCCAAGTTGCACTCCGCATTGTAACTGCAGTAACTCATTCAGTCGCCTTTGAAACAGTATACAGCACACTGATGTTTAAAAAACTGGAATAATTTGTTTGAAATTTTAAGAAAGTTGGAGTTATTTTATGTTTATTTATTTATCAACCAATCTGTCTAACTAACTTCAAAACAGTTCCTACTATATTATAAGAAAAACCTACCAATCAATAAACGTTAGTAAAATTAGAAAAAATATAAGTACTTTTAATATTTAACAACTGAGCACAAAGTTTAGTACACAAAGTTTTGTAAATAAATAAAAACGTATACAAAAAACGTGTGTTAGTTCCAGGACGCGGTAGTGGCAGCTGGTGGCCAAGCGGCCGCCCAACTCCAACAAATGGCGACATCTCTCGGGGATCTCTCGCAAGCCGAGCTGACCAACATCGTCGGCGGTCTGACGCTGGAGCCCGACACTGGCGAGGCAGCAGACCCTGATGACATCCTCAAGCAACTAGGAGAGACCGCTTTCGACAACTTTGAAACGTTTTTTACGGATCTAACGAATGCCACCGCGTCTTCAGTACCGCCTATTGAAATTAAGGTGAGATTTCGTATTTATATACCAGATGCAGAAGAGTACGCAGGTATCGACCTACTTATGTCGCGAGAGTTATTTCTAAAACAAGTTATTTAACTGTAACGATTACCTACATAGTTCACATTACAAACGTTTTCCTAGTTGTGTTCATAGTTAGTTAGCGTTCGTAGTAAAGAGTCAGGTAGAAGTAGTAGCCTTTCCACTAGCAACATCTACAGTAATTTTTAATTTCATTTGTACTAAATAGAACCTGCCAAGACTATTTGGTTCTATCTAAAGTAGGGATTTATATTCTATATATTAATAAAATTCTTTTTATGATTTTCAGCAAGAAGAAAACAACAATATATCGTCGCCAGCGTCCAGCAGCCAACTCCAAGGCTACTATCAACAGAACAGTCAATTAGCACTGCCAAACAACGGCCAGCAACGGTTACAACAGTTGTTAAGATCAGGCACGAGTGCCATCAACAGTGCCGTGACAAACAACATCAACAATGGCCGATATAATATCGCTTCCGCGAATCCTTTGCTTGCTGAAAAACTATCAGCGTCACCTAGCGGCATTAAGCAAGAACCAATCAGTTCGGATTACAACACGACGAGTATGAACTACGGGAGCGCGTCGCCGATGCAGAGGATGCCGAGCGGGAAGCCGCAGGTGCATGATGCTGGAGGAGGTAAAGGTGAGTTTTATTAATTAATAGAATAAGGCTAGGACAGATTCGTTAATAACATGAATAGCGACATCTAGCGGTCAATAGTCAAACTAGTATGTAAAAGGGTTTACCATGTAGTCTTAGTAATATTTCTAGTCGATACTAGATGGCAGCACTAACGACTCACAATTATAATTTGTCAAATGAATAATAGATGTCGCTACCATGAAGATGCATAGTTGCATCGTTGGATGCATTAGTTTCGTCCGCCTATGCAGTTTTCTCTTCGCGATCACAATCCACTTTCGATTTCCGGTCGAGGAAGTGTCGACGATTTTCCTTTCACGACTTGCCGCTTTTACCTCGTCAAACGTTTAGGCCGGTAGCCACGAGAAAGTTTTATTAAGCTGTATCTAGTTTTCTAGTTTATAGGACAAGGTATGCGCTTACTCCTCATATAGATTAGAATTTTGTATTTGCAGTGCGTATTCTGTCCAAGGATTGGCCTATCTATTTAGACAACATCATGGGTTTGTTTCGGCATACCTAAATTTTGATATAGGCATAGGCCAGCATGCTCAAAAATGGTCCTGTACTATTCGGATCTGCAGTTTTATTTTTACAACTTACTCGTTAATCTACCCTCACAATACAGTCCTTGTTAGATGCATTTAGCATAGCTACGTTTTATTCAAGAAGAAGAGATTTTAGCATTTTTTAAATCTTAACCAGTGTTCTTGTGTGCTTGTCAATTCTCAATATTTATAAATCATTATAACATGTGTCCAGAATCCTTTTATTTGCTTTTCTAGTTTTATCAATAACACGAAGCGATGAGATATATCTAAGACGCAGTAGGTCAGTGGCGCCCCCGTGCGGCCGGAAGCGAAAGCGAAGCGAGTGGTCGGCACATCTAACCGCTTTCCCCACCTAATAATCTATCTGAAACTACAAACATACATATATACCATGTACTTACTGTAGATACTACATAGTTACTTGTATGTAGACAGACGAACGAAGTAAGGGGGAAAGTTAGTTATAAACTTCAAGATATTACTACGGCCAATAATTATATAGAACATTGAGTATAATTTATTGAATACCAAGTGTAAACTAAGTAAACTTTTTAAAATTTTAGATATAGGTATATTATCGGGAAATATTTAAATATTTTGTGAAGCTGTTTTCTATTATAATTTTGAAACCCTTTGAAGCTATGGGTACAATATTATAGTTACATAACTTAATAATAGATAGGTAATATTAGGAATTATTGAGAAATTACTTATTCAATAGTTAAAATTAAATAATATAAGTAGCTGGATATGGATAGAACAATGTACCCAGCTAAGCTGTATAGATGTGGTTTCATGCTTGGCCTAGCTAAATAATGTTTGTGGATGATTTCATTCTGAAACACCTTACCAGACAAGTCGCTAGGGGGAGGTAGAGAATTATTGTTTTTCTAATTGTTCCTATTAAAATATGTTTTCCTTTCCAAACGCAAGGTCTGCACGGCCCAAGATGGCCGCTCGCGGTGCATATGCGTGCATACACCAGCATAGGTAATTATATGAGAATTACGTTTTATCTATTGTACATAGCTTTCATTTAATGCACAGACAGGTTTCCAACCGCGTTTCATAGAAAGTGATAGCAATTAATGAAAAGTGTTGAAGTCACTAACATACGTACCTAGAACAAGTAAATAGCTTTTAGCTTTTACCAGCGGCTTTACCCGCCTGTGTCTATGTTCTGCTCCGTACTCCGAACTATACATTTATTTGTGGAAATTTCATATAGATATTTTGAGTAGGTACTAGGAATACTTAAAGCGTACAAAAAAACAAACGAATAAACTTACTTTAACATTTATTACTTAGAACATAGCTTTCCGACTACAACTTAATTCGCGTGGAATGTAGATAATATCTTTCGGTGGTGTTGACTGCTGATCCTGTAGCAATATCGGCCTAGAAAGTAGCCTATGTTACTCCCTGAAAAATAAAATCGTTCTCAGTGAAAAGAACTTCAAATCAGTTTTCCTTTTGTAGCATATTCAATGCAAACAAGTCAAAATAAAATCGTTCCTTTACGACAGACCACAGACGGCACTTACACAGACGATCCTCTTATGTAAAAATCACGTTAATTTCTATTCATTTACTTCACAAAATATTATTATTTAGTCTTAGATAAATGCTACGCGAAAGTTTATCACCTGCGTGCCTTATTTAATATTTAATTTAAGTTTGATGATAGCTAGATATTAAATAGTAAATAATAGAAATCAGATGATCTAAAATCAATACAACACAATGTATACCAATTTATATTTTAATTAATATGTTATCTAAAACGTAGGTACAATTTACCTAATAGAGGATAATAGTTGTTTGTCAAACGATCACAGTTACCTAATAGGTAAAACGTATCGCGATAACAGGTAAAAAACATTAGCAATTACAATTAAATTATGTAATACTATTTAATTGTAAATTTAGGTACCTGTACCTAGGTACAGTAAATAACAAACTTTAAAAAATCAATCATGTCATCTAGTTGATGTGTTATTTAACAATTGAGAATATGGAATACATTTCTTCATCCACCCTAATTAGTGACAGGATAATGATTATCGAAACAAAATTATAAATCAGCCAAAATCTGTTTTTTGCACTAAACCACGAACTAACAGTAGGTACCGCAACTGATTAGAAAAACGCCAAACACTTGGAAAGTTTTTATCACTAAATAAAAAAACCTTTTTGGTTGTGCCGCCGACGTTCAAGCACTTAGGGCTTCGCCCCCCGGGACCAAAGTTACAAGTGTAGTGTGGAATTAAGGAAGTTTCGATTTTTTCTCTTAAAGAAGGCCAAAGTTCAAAGTGGTTTTTTACGCAAAGAAAATAAAGTGCGACACAATTGTTATAACTTATTCATAAGTAGTTCTGTCAACGCTCTGAATTACATTTTAGTGTAACAAACGAACAACCGTCCCTTGCTTTATATATATATTGGTTTGTTAAAACTACGAACAAACTGTTACTAAAACTAAACATTACTTTATTTGAAACGTATCTTTAATTTCGTTAAATAAATTGAAACTCGAAAGTCTATCAAAATCCCTTCGTTTAGCCCCATGTAATGTTTTCTTAATATATCCCACAGGTACCTATGTAACTAGAAAATCTTTGAAAAGTTCTATATGAGTACATATTGAATATTTAACCTTCTAACATAGAGATGGAATAAGAATGACTTAATTGCTTAGGAAAAAGAAAATTTTAAAACCAATAATACCAATAAGTACCTACCTTTAATTAAACTGTCAAACACCAAGCGGTCACCGGTGACCGCAACCTATTGTTCTTTAATTGTGTCTATAAATACGGTACTCGACGAGTTAAGTAACAGCCAGTTGATAGGTAAATACAAAATAATCACGGGTGACTCCTAATGTAACTTTATTTCGTCAATCCGTATTTTTTCCTTTCTGCAGAAATTCTTCTCGAATTGCTCACCTTATAACATTATGCACCGCCGCTGATTTCAAAACTATTGTGTGGTTTTGTAGAATATGAGAATTTTGTTTATAACTTAACATAGTGCGACTTTATACGTTATATACCTAATTAATAGTTAAGTGTATCTACCTGAGTGATTGAGTGCTTGACATACCTACTATAGAGATCATTTATATTCCTTAATGAAATCCAGTTATCATTTCCAGAAGGTAGGCAAACGCTAGTTGCTACAGTTTTCAATCCCTTCCTCTAAACAAACCTTGACACCTTATGGTTTCCAGAAGTATACAATACTTTACAATTAAATAATTGTGTGTAAACAATATAGGAAAACTAAATGAATCACAATATTGAGTGCTGGTGTCTTCCTGGAACGTAAACTGGAGTAGTGGGGTTCTAGGTCAAGGTGGTGAAGTCGCGACACCTGTCTGACGTCACCGCGATGACGTCACAGTACACTGGGCTATATAGCTCAATGGTACTGCTTGTTATCAGCTGCCTCATTTGTTTATTACCTCGTGTTATGGTGGAGACTATGGTTAAATATGAATAGTTAGTGTTATTGGCTAGATAGACGTTAGGCGATATTTTCAAATTCAAATTCAAATAGTTTATTGCGAATATAGGTCAAGTGTTGATGTTACAGTAGTTATTATAAAATAATTTGATCAGCTACATTCTGCCATTTACCATGCAATACTTGTTGTGAAAATTACAATTACAATTTATTATGTATTTATTACTTACATTACTTAAATTAGTCATAATTTTGATTATGATTTTATAGCAGATTGTTTATCATAATTACATTTTTAAGCAATTGCTTATAGGACGACGTGCTCCATTGTAAGCGATGATGCGGTCTGCATTATCGCTTACCGCCAGACGAGATAGTGGCCAAATGTCGGTCCATCAAATACAAAAAAAATAGTCAATTCGTTTTCATTACAAATCTATAGTTTTGCAAAGCTAAATTAAATTCCATTCAAATAGTTACCTAGGCCTATTATAACAGACGTGTTAGACGTGGAAAACCAAAAAGTATATAGAAGTCAAAAATAATATTAAAAAAATACACTTCTAAGCTCTTTCACAATAAGAACCACAACAATATTTGTTCACTTTATAAATACCAAGCAATAATAACTAAATATTATATAAAAAGTCCACTGGAAGCATCACGTCACATCCTTTTACGAAGCGACCCGATCAAGTGTGGGCGGACGATTGACCTGAGCAACTCAGTTTTACTAACAATCCGTTATCTGGGTTACCCACTTGCTATAAATTCCTAGTAGACACATTGACACGTCCATAATCCCTATATTAAGTTGCGTAATGTACTGGGAAGTATTATATGTATATGGTGAATTTTATTTTTGGTTTGGTTCGTTTATTTACTCAGGCTATCTATGGGCACTTGCAATAAGATGTCTATTTGTAGGTTTAGTTGGTAGATCTATATTTAATGTAAGTTCAGTGTAAAATGTGACTAAAT